ATTAATTATGTGTGATTTACAATAGGATGCTCAGGATGAAGTGTATTTTTATTTTTATTTTTACTTTCCACCTCTCTTTCTCTCCTCTGTCCATAAAACATCTCGCCGTAAATAAACCAAGTGTTATCTTGTTATCAAAAAAGAGATCGTATCCGGCGCAGCATTTATTTCCACCCTTCGAGTCAAATCGATAGGTAGAATAATAAAATACGACATTAAAGCAACGAATGTAAGGCGCAGTGTATGTAAACAATGAATGACGTTTGCAATAAAAATAAAATACTTCTGCGTATATTTGTATTGTTTCGGTACCCACTATCGTTCCGATCGATGTTCAATAATTAATGACAATTGTTCTCATTCTTCCCTTTGATACTATTCTACGATTGCATTCGTATTAGATTTGCCGGACAAGTGAGAAGAATGTTTGTTATGTAAACCCGACGGAGTTTCTTAACATCAACGAAGGTTATTTTTTTCACTTTTGGTAAATTTCATCCGCACAAAGGAAGCATTCGTTAACAATGAACGGTTGAAATAAATAAATAATACGAAACCTTCGGTTCTGGTGTCTTTATTAGCGTACCCTTTGTTCGATTCTCGTGAATAAGTTGAAAACAATATAGGACGTAGATTGTATACTGGATTGGAATTATTTTTACTGCATATCAATTGATCATCAGTTTGATACGCCTTTGATTGGAAAGACCGCTTTCTAATTAACGAGAGAATGACTAATTATGAAGAAAATGTTCTCTTCTCGTGTATCATTTGCTTGCAGTTTCTATTAGACATGGTTCAAGCTACAAAACATCGCGCTTTTTTCACTAATATGTTACTTGTGTCGAGAGAAATTCATCGTTATGGACTTCGTTATCGGAATATTCCCTCGCAGATATTTCGACGAAGTGTTTCATCCTTGCAGCTGGCACAGTTTACTGTTTGCCGTCAAATGAAACTACAACTTGGAACAAAAATAACATTTTATAATTACCGAGATCGACGCTAAACAAAAGTCGTGACTTTTACGCAATAAAACCATCGTGACAAATGGGAATAACTACCAATTAGATTTGTGTTTACACATCACCGATAAAACGATCGAGATATTCGATGTTTACTCTGAAAATTTCATTAATTTCCCACCGATAATCTTAATTCTCAACGAGAAACACTAATCAATATTTACGAACGTTTAGGAACAGGTGCGCACATTGTATAATCACATCTTATCTTCCTTTCAGGTGTTTTACAACGTCACTTGTGCTTTCTCAAACGCGATACGGTGTATATATAAACCGGCGTTTACGAGATTCACCAGGTGCTATTGTCTACCCAAAGAGTAATCACGGTGAGTTCTCCAAACAATACAATATATTAATTTCTCTACGAAGTAACTGTTAAATCAACAAAACTATTTATATGTCAACCACTTCGAACCCTAGTTAAAAGGATTGCAAATTGAATTTCGTTGCTTCGAAACATTCTCTCACAGTAATATTCGACAAATTCTATCAAAAAATTACTTCCGTCGCGTTAAACACGAGACTACCTACTTCTATCACCTGTTCAATTCTCGAATGAAATCAGTTTTACATGGTCCCCTCTTTCAGATGAAACTCCTAGCGATAGCTTTCACGGCGATGGTTGCCTTCGCAACCGTCGAGAGCCACTACCTACCTGCGTTCGGTAAGGGACCGCTGTACGAAGACATCCAGTACTTTATAGACATGATTCCCATGGAGCAAGTGGTGGCAACAGTTCTGGAATACGCCTCCGAAGACGCTGAATTCCAACAGTTGATTAACTACTTCGCCACCGCGGATTTCAAGTCTATGATACAGGAGGTCGAGGGTATCAAGGAGTTCCACGACTTCGCCGATTACCTGGAGACAAACGGTGTCTACATCTACAACTCGTTGAACCGTCTGAACAAAGTAGTCGGAATCCCGCCGTTCCACCAGACTTTCGCCGGTGAAAAACAAATCACCGGTGGAGTGAAGGGTATGTTCGAGGATGTGAAGAAGCTGATCTCCTACGACAAGTTCATCAAGGGCTACGTGTACAAGATGAGAACGTCCGACGCGTTCCGCGGTTTCGTCGCCGAATTGAAATCTCCCGGTAACCAGAAATTCGTCGATGAGCTATACAGGAAAAACAAGTTCCTCCACTTCCGTGGAATGATCGCTGATAAGGGTATCGACGTCACTCTCATCGAGGATATCATCTACACCGTCCTGGGTGTCGAGTTTCCCATTTTCGACATGCCATTCGAATACTACGAGAATCCACTGTCCAAGGACATCCACGACTTCACCAAACTGATCGACTTAAACAAGATTGGACAGATCGTTGTGTCTTATCTGGATGACGACGAGGTGCAGAAGGCTATGGAGTACATGTATAGCGAAGAATTCCATCAACTGGTCCGTCAAGTCGAAGCTTTACCCGAGTATCAAGAACTTGTTATCTACCTGCACGATGCCGGTTTGGATATCTATGGCCTGCTCCAGAGGGTTCACAAATTATTCGGCATGGAAGACTATGTACCACCTAAGCACATCTTCGAATTTAGCCAGACATATGTTAACCGTGGTGGAGTGAAAGGATTGGTCGATGCTGTGATCGCTGTTCTCCCATTGCAAAAATTCAAGGCCCTTTTCGAAGAGAAGATGGCCACATCTCCCGCCTTCGTCACCTTCGTTCAGAAACTCCGCTCTCCGGATTTCCAGAAGATCGTCAACGCTGTCTACACATCGCCCATCTTCTTAGAAATGAGACAGAAGGCCATCGACGCTGGACTGAACATTGAACCAGTCAAGAAGATCATCGAGAACATGCTTGGCATCCATCTTCCAACAGTCCCCCTTTACGCTTTCTACGAGAATCCACTGTCCAAGGACATCCACGACTTCACCAAACTGATCGACTTAAACAAGATTGGACAGATCGTTGTGTCTTATCTGGATGACGATGAGGTGCAGAAGGCTATGGAGTACATGTATAGCGAAGAATTCCATCAACTGGTCCGTCAAGTCGAAGCTTTACCCGAGTATCAAGAACTTGTTATCTACCTGCACGATGCCGGTTTGGATATCTATGGCCTGCTCCAGAGGGTTCACAAATTATTCGGCATGGAAGACTATGTACCACCTAAGCACATCTTCGAATTTAGCCAGACATATGTTAACCGTGGTGGAGTGAAAGGATTGGTCGATGCTGTGATCGCTGTTCTCCCATTGCAAAAATTCAAGGCTCTCTTTGAAGAAAAGCTGTCTACATCTCCCGCCTTCATCGCCTTCGTTCAGAAACTCCGCTCTCCGGATTTCCAGAAGATCGTCAACGCTGTCTACACGTCACCTATTTTCCTGGAGATGAGACAGAAGGCCATCGACGTTGGACTGAACATCGAACCAGTCAAGAAGATCATCGAGAACTTGCTTGGCATCCATCTTCCAACAGTCCCCCTTTACGCTTTCTACGAGAATCCACTGTCCAAGGACATCCACGACTTCACCAAACTGATCGACTTAAACAAGATTGGACAGATCGTTGTGTCTTATCTGGATGACGATGAGGTGCAGAAGGCTATGGAGTATATGTATAGCGAAGAATTCCATCAATTGGTCCGTCAAGTCGAAGCTTTACCCGAGTATCAAGAACTTGTTATCTACCTGCACGATGCCGGTTTGGATATCTATGGCCTGCTCCAGAGAGTTCACAAATTATTCGGTATGGAAGACTACGTGCCACCCAATCATAACCCTAGACTCTTCTGGTTCAGCGAGACGTACGTCAACCGTGGTGGAGTGAAAGGATTGGTTGATGCTGTGATCGCTGTTCTCCCATTGCAAAAATTCAAGGCCCTTTTCGAAGAGAAGATGGCCACATCTCCCGCCTTCGTCACCTTCGTTCAGAAACTCCGCTCTCCGGATTTCCAGAAGATCGTCAACGCTGTCTACACGTCACCTATTTTCCTGGAGATGAGACAGAAGGCCATCGACGCTGGACTGAACATCGAACCAGTCAAGAAGATCATCGAAAACATGCTTGGCATCCATCTCCCAACAGTCCCCGCGTTCTTCTAAATCAACGTCGATTCTACTTGAAAATCGCTCTCATTTACTTGAAAATTTTCACATTTTTACATCAGGCAATCTCAAAGATGCAAATATACTTTTTTATAATTCCTGATACGTTATGTCGTTGCGAGAACGATCGGTTATCATGCGCATTAAACCATTGTAAATAATTACATCGTCTAACGTAGTCATTTCCCTATCTTCCAATACTCACAAAATAGAACATCTACAATTCTAGATCGTGTTCTAGGAAAACAGACATACAGAACGGAGCATCTCCAATTCTACCTTGAATGTATAGTAACACGAAGTTCGTGTTCTACGAAAACAAAAACAGGTTAAGCCTCCGAGCGAGTAGAAGACTTAAAATGATCGCAAAGACGATTTCTCCGTCGGCCCTCAGAGGTTCAACCACTTTGTTTCCGTTCCCTGCCCTCGCTATCTCCCGCCAGCTTTTCCCATTTTTCCCCGCTTCCCCTTCGTCACTGTCCCCTCTATCGCAAACATCCCCAGCCCCTTCTCTCTCCGTTCGATTTTTCTTCCCTGGCTCAGGGTATTTCTCCAGCAGGATCCTCCGTTTCTCTCGATAGTTCGTTAATCCCTCTAGATCGGTGTACTCTCTCTCTTCCTATGACTTTCCATTACGAAGCGGCAATCGCCGCGCGAGTCTCGAGGCTTATTAAATTGTAACAATTTTAATTAGAGAA